GAAACTCCAAGGCTTCATCTCAGGAAAGTATTATACTCTGAAACTTTCAACCTTATAGCTCTTCATTTCGCAGACTTTCCATTTACAAAGTCTTCTGAATGCCAGCTCCAGGTGCTAAGCATAAGCACTTCAAGTTTCCTCAGTACAACCACCTGGCAGGCACAACACCATCTGCATTTTCATCCCAACCATCCTGGAGCTTATTCCTCTAGAGCAGTAGCAGTTCTGAAGCCAGGCTCCCTGGACCAACAGCAGCATCTAGAAACTTCTGCTGGAAATGCAGATTCTCAGGCTCCACGCTACACCTACTAAATCAGAATGCTGAAGGCAGACAGAGCCATCTGTGTTTTAACACTGCCTCCAGGGGATTCTGATCCTGGGTCCATGTTTGTTTGGGAGCCCTAGATCCTCAAAAGCCACAGGGCATTTGCCATGCTTGCACTTAGTTCCCAAGTGCTTTTAAAACACAGATCTCTAGTATGATCAATAAAGGGAAAAATGATAATCATGTTGAAAGAGTGAGTAGGAAGAGATAAACAAACGTTCTAAAAGTGAAAGCTGAGATCATTTTAAAAGATCAATGTAGAGAAAACGGCAAATGTTGGGTGTGTGTGTGTGTGTGTGTGTGTGTGTGTGTGTTGTGTGGGATGACTTGCTCAATGGTAAGAGATAATTCTGCAAATACTGAATCATGCAATGTGTGAGATGCAATGTCTTCGTGGCAGACAACAGTCATTAAGACGCAAGGAAAAGGATCTCAAATGTACTTTGAGAAAGGTGGACACCGGGTCACAAGACTGGCATCAACGGTGATGCTCGTCACCTTCCTGGAATTTGGAGAACACTGCCAGTCTAAATGCTATTCTAGGGCTCGAAGAGAAAGGACAGCTCCTAGTTAGGGATGTTTCACTGGTTAAAGGCTCATGTGAATCTGTAAAGCACCGATGCTTCGGCCTATTTAAGACACGAGTGCTAAGCAGTTCTCCAGAGCAGAACCACAGCAAGGGTTAGCAAACCTGTCAGCTTTTCTGTACAGACGAAACCGGTGTGTTTTAGAAAAAAGAGAGACAGAGAGATAACCTAGGAGAAAGTGCAGCAGCAAGGCAGAGAAACTATGTCAGGTTTCAAACTTGGAAGGACCAGATCACATTGCTTCTAACAAGCTTCAAATCCAGGGAGTAATGATGGATCTACCAACAAATGGATCTAGGAACCATCTATGACGACCAAACACATCTGCTGGAGCTCCTGTAAACACGTGCGGCTGTTAGAATTCAGCATTAATGTGCAAAACCCACCCCCTGCCCCCTGAGATCCTGATTCATTCAATTGGGATAGAGCCCATTTTAACAAGCTCTCCAAGGGATACTGAGGCAGATGGGCCCCAGACCACAAAGGCAGTACTCATTGACAGAGAAGAACCAAAATCAAGAGCTGTGTAGAACCGACGCGCATGCCCCACAAACATTGCTGGGGGAAAAAACGCAGTCTGAAACCAAAACACCATCCGCCAGAGCCCCGATTTAGCATTTGTTCCACAGCAGATCAGGGAAGTCAGCAGTAAATGAGTAACATGTTACATAAGTTGCTGTTCTGTATGCAGAACCTTAACTCACCAAAGAGAAGTTAAAGTCATATAAAAAGCAACAGCCCACCCCCAAAACAAATGCTGTCCAACTGTAGCCAGGATTCCCCCATCCCCTTCTGCTGGGCTAAGACATCCTCCTTTGAGCTGCAAACCCCCAGGGCTCACCCTTGGGCCTCTGGAGACTGGATCCTTCCATCCAGGTCGGGGAAGGTGAGGTTAGGGAAGAGGGTAGACAGAGGACATTCAGGGTTGCATGGGCATGAACACTGGCTTCAGCAAAGCTTGCCTCTGGCTGAAAACACATGTGGAAACACATTTTGCTGGACTACATCTCTGGCCCACTGCTGAAAAGTTCTGGAACCACATCCCCTCTGTCTTGGGTCTTGTCCAAGAACCTCAAACTGCTCTCTTCAACATTCTCCTTCTCTCTCAGGCAAGGACTCTCAGTCTTTTCCTCTTCCCAGTTCCCCCAGACCTGGCTAACAAGCTAGCTCTAACTAGAATGCTAAAAGCCTGATGGTGACTAGGACAATTATCATACCAGTGACCACAGAAGACGCCACTGCAGGTACAGTGAAGGCATGCACATATATGTAACATATGTTACTCCTTCCATGGAGCCAGCCTCAGGCGCCTTCTCAACATGGAACCAGAGGCAAGCATTCCAACTTCCTGGCAAGTTTCAGAGGGAAGCGGTAAGTTTCAGAGGGAAAAGTCCATAGCTGCCTCTTCATTACTCTACTTCAAGCACCCAGCATGGCGACTAACTCTTAGGAAGTGATCAAAAAATCAGTATTGAATTGAATTAATTTCACACCTGATGTGAAATTTCAATGCCCCATCCCCACACATATTTTGCCAGAAAGCTCTTCTCCAAATGCAGTAGAGTCACCCAGGAAGCTTGTTGAAAGTCCATCTTCTGGGCTGGACCTCAGACTTAGGAAATCAGACTCCATGTGATCTGCATCTGTCACCAGTCGCCAGGTAATCTAGTACACGCAGAATCCGAGAACCAGTGCCTTAACCTTACAGGAGGATCTCATAGGCACCAACCCTACGGGATGTGATTAAGCAAAAGGGCCCTTTTGAAACAGACAAAACAGAGGCTGGCATCAACTGAAGCGTGAGTAGAGAACACACGACATCAGGAAAACATGAGGAAGATAAGAGATCAGAGGGCAAAAAAGGTCTAGAATAGCATTTTCAGCTAACAGAACTACCATGGATCTCAACAAGTCAGCCCTCGCCCATTTTCCCTGTTTGTGAGTTACCATGCCTTATCACCAGATCATGGACCGGGGGCATCAGCAAAGCCCAGGGATGAAAAGCACAGAGCCGGCAGCTCTGCCTTACCACAGAAGGCTGCACAACACGAGAGGCACACCCTCACGCAGACCCCTCAACAAGTCCGGCTTCTCTCCTCCACGCGGCAGACTGTCAGCTACAGTCAGCAGATCTTCCTCCCTCATGCTTTACTCTTGGGGTTGCCCCATTTTGAGCAGGGCAGGAGGCTGCTCACAGCCAGAATGCAGGGAACCATGCCAGAGCTGTACCCCTGCACTTAAGAAGCCACCAAAGCTCCCCACGCCACCCTTCCTGAGACAGGGAACTCCGCCACCGCCAGCAGCCGTCACAGCAACATCAAACGCGGATGTTTATGCCAAGCCCCATTTACACGAGCCCACTTCTCCCCGAGAGATGAATTTCTAAAACAAACAGCTTTTACATATGTTCGCAGGCACAGTCACGTCAGCGTCAGGGATCCCCAGACGGAAACATGAGTCAGTCTGGGGCAAAGATGCTAAGTAAATCCTGTCTGGGTGAAATTCCTCTTTCTGAAGAAAGAGGAGCCTCAACGCAGATTGCTCAGCTTTCTCAGCAGGAGTCCCTAAAGATGGCAAGCTCTCCCAGGGAAGCCCGCTGTGCACATTCTGGACTCCAGATCTACCACTGTCACACTGACATGCATTGGCCGCATCACCACAACCGTCCGTGAGCCTTTCTAACCATTCCCCTGCATCCTAGCATCCCTGCCTGCACACACACCCTGGTTTCATCGGGGAATCTGGCGGCCCTGGTTGTTAGGCACCGGTTGTCCACACTCCTGTAGGATTTCGAGACATCCCAAGGCTCGGGTCTCTGGCAGCCAAAGAGACAAATGCCACCAAGTAGGCATGCAGGTGTCTGAGAAACGAGGGATTGCACATAACCAGCACAGGCAGCTAACCTGAAAGACCCGATGCCATGAAGAACTCAGGTGAGGAGCAGTGTGACTACGCAGGAAATCTCAGGCTTGGGAGTATTAACTACAGGGTCATTACCTCCTGTTACCGTATCTTTGCCTGGAGAGACTTTGGAAAGAGGAGGAATTCCATAACCTAATACAACATAAGCAGGCTGTGTTACAGTATGAAGGTGCAAACCAAAAGAATTAGCACAGGATGAGGTCAACCCAGCATTTAGGACCCACTGTAGTCTGAATGTTTGTGTTCCCCCAAAATTCATACGAAGAAACGTAACCCACAATGCAACCATAGCATTAACGGGGAGCAGGGAGCCTTGAGGAGGTAATTAAGTCATAAGAGCTCTGTTCTTGTGGATGGGATTAGTGCCCTTATAAAAGAGGCTGATGAATGCCGCCTTGCCCCTTCTATCACATGAGGACACAGAAGGTATCAGCTAACAGGAAGAGGCCCTTGGCAGATGCCGGTGCCTTCATCATGGCCTTCTAGCCCCCAGAATTGTGAGAAATTAGTTTTTTTGTTTTTCATAAATTACCAATTCTACGCTGCTTTGTTACAGCAAAGAACAGCTTTGTTACAGCCTGAACAGGCTAAGACACAACCTAACATAGGCCAATCATCAAACCTAGAGATGGCAGAAGGGCAGGAGGCCCCAGCACAGGCGCTGGCATGGTCAACTCCAAGTACACACTGTGCCTGAGCACACAGCACAGACCCCAACCCAGACCCCACCTTTCTGGGGTACACTGCTGGGGGCATGATGGGGCTGCAAGCAAGGGCTCTATACTGTGCTGTGGGAGGCACTGGCCTGTTGAGGACATGCATCTCAGATCCCGGGGGTGAGGACTTGAGCTGCCCTCAGAGAAGTGGGACTAGAGGGATTACCATGGCCTTGGGTGTCTTTAAGTACAGTCTGGAACTTTGGACCCATTCCAGACCTTGGCTGGAGCATCACAGGCTTAGCCTCCCCACATGCATGAGGGTCTATAACCAACGTGGGGCTATGACTGAGTCTACAAGGCTCTAGGTGAGAGAGACGAAGGGGGAATTACTGGCCACCTACAAGGTGGGGATGGAGGTGGGGGTCTTACGTATGTCCCCAAGCTGCAGGCAGAGCTCCCTGTCGACTACGGCTAGGGCCAAACCCAAGAGAAAGAAAAGCTACAAACCGAGCCCGTTCTCCGCCAGCGTGGCATGGTTCACGTCACATTCGCCCACATCTTGCTCTCCAACGTGATCATTCAGATCCAAGCCAGGCTGATGGGACCCGTTTCCAAAGTGCCTCTCGTCCTTCTCAGAGCCGGCATCCCCGTTTTCCATCCCGTTCTGAGCCTTTTTCAGGGGCATTATTTGCAAACCACTGGGGGTAGTCCTGTAAGACACCGTCTTGGCGGCCCTGTCGCCTCCTGCAGGAGGCTTGCCCGAATACCCTTTTTTTGGCTTGGCGAGGGGAGGGTTAATTCGCTTCCGTTTATGGGAGGTCCCCTTGCTCTTTCCAGGATCCGAAGGTCTGTGGGAGAGTTTCTCAACTGAGGGGCCTCGACCGTCACGCAGAAGCTTGGAGGTGCTGGACTGCTTCCCTGACTTGATGCGCTTGTCCTTGGACACGTGCAGCCCATTGAACTCATCGATAAACTCCTCACAGTGCAAGAGGTGGTGCTCCGGCTCCCACGTGTCCTCTGTGCTCCCGTAGCCTTTCCATCGGATAAGATACTCCCATTTTCCTTTCTTGTTCTTCCTCTTGTCTACAATCCTTTCAACCTGCAATACAAGACGAGAGGGTCAGAAAACAAAGAGAGAGAGGAAGGAAGGAAGAAGGTCAGTTCCAGGCAACAAGAACAGCATAAAGCCCTTGGAATAGAGGTATGTATCCTAGCCATAGGGTGAGCCATGAGCCATTCAATGCCAGAAGCCAACATGTGCAGAAGGGTTCAAGAAGGCTGGTTTATTTTATGACATCACTGTATGGAACCTGAAGCACATGCAGTCCTTTCCCATGATGCCTCTAGATGCCATGCCCAGCTGGTGGTAGCCACATGTCTATCCAAGCTTACTTTTTTTTTTTTTTTTTTTTGAGACGGAGTTTCATTCTTTCACTTAGGCAGTAGTGCAATTTTGGCTCACTGCAACCTCTGCCTTCTGGTTTCAAACAATTCTTCTGCCTCAGCCGCCTGAGTAGCTGGGATTACAGACGCCTGCAACCAAACCTGGCTGATTTTTGTAATTTTAGTAAGAGACGAGGTTTCACCATGTTGGCCAGATTGGTCTCGAGCTCCTGACCTCATAATCCACCTGCCTGGGCCTCCCAATGTGCTGGGATTACAGGTGTGAGCCACTGCACCTGATCTATCCAGGCTTACTCTTATTTGAAATTGCACTGCAAGCTTTCACACGAGATCTTTATTCTTTTCATTGCACCAAAGTAGACACAGGCTATTAAAGACCAATTTCATGAGTGTTCTCCATCCTTATTTATAATAAGTAACATTTACTGAGCAATTATATGGGAGGTACTATGCCAATGTATCTTTACTTACAACAACACCAGTGATCAGTAACATTCCTTGGGTGCTTATGAGGCAGACACTGTACTAAATGCTGGGCACAGACTCTCCCATCTCATTTTCTCCTGGACAACAAACCAATGAGGTAAGTAATTTTTCTATCCCCAATTTACAGTCAGAGAACTAGGGCTCAGGGAGACCAAGTAACTTAACCAAGTTCCAGAATGGTAAGGGCAGAACTGGGGAACCATTCTCACCTCAGACATAACCTCTTCTCACTAGGTCATACTCAATCTCTTAACTGCAAAAATCTTCCATGGTGACCAAAAAGGACTTGAATTGAAAATGTCCAGTTCTACCTAGCTCCCCTAGCTGCAACACAGAGGCACAGCTAGGAGGCAAAGAGATAGGTAACATTTGTTGAGTATCTACTATGCACCTCACATGCCGCCATGGGCGTATACCACTATTATTTTTCCGTTTGAGAGATAAAGATACTGAATATAAGGCAACTCGCCTACCATGCACAGCGAGGAGGTGATGGTCGTGGGATCTGAACCTTTACGTGTCAGCCTCTAAAGCCATGAGCGACTGCCTACAGGTCTTCAAAGGTAAGAAAACCTCCCCTGTCTTTATGTGATCCCATGGAAAGATACACTTGAAAAATACCAGTTCTGATGCTAATAACTGGTGATTTTAAGTGAAGGACATGTGAGGGTTCACTTAGTATTCTTTCAACTTTGCTGTAGATTTGAAATTTTTCAGTTAAAAGAAGCTGGGAAATTCTCAGTGTTACACCCCCCAAAATGCTAAATTTCAATGAAAAAATAAGCAGTTTTATTCAAAAGTTTATTCTACTTCAATGTTAATATAATATGCTTTTCTAGAATGGAATTTTGATTCAATAAAATTAAGTCAAGTGAGGAGGAATATGCCTCTGAAACTTACGAAAAGAAAAAAACGTGAGCAAAGGTGCCTACAGTCATTGTTGCTAATTGTTGAAGACAGGTAATGAATACATAGGGTAAATTATGTGGCTATTTATATCTACGTGTTTGAATTTTAGTATGTTTAGAATGTTAATCCTAAGAAGTAAAAAAATTTTGAAAAGTGGGATCATCTCATCAATGGCTTTTGTACAACAGAGGTTATGTGAAATAATTAAACCACTTTCTTTGCTTTGCACTTCATAAATATGCAAATAACTAGACCATACTGCCTCTTTATAATATTGCCTCTTCATAATTTAAATTGTTCCTTTAATCAATTTATCTCCATTCAAATTGGCCTAAAGTCTATCAAATTTTTTTCTTTATTAAATGCCCTATGAACCCCTGTTTTAGATTTATTAGATAATTTTTAGATATAATACACAAACTCTGTAACATTTTTAAAAAGTAAAATCATTCCTAACTAATCCCAATATCCAACTTTTGGGTCAATGAATGGGGTTACTGAGTATCCCTTTATAATAATGTTTCAGAATGCCAAGGATTTCTGTAAGAGCCTGCAGCTTTGCTCTTTGAGAACACTGTAGGGAGAAACTCTCTACAGGTTACTGAGGGAGGAAACAGAGTAAGCAACCAGGCACTACCTGAAACAGCAGCATTTGTGAGGACACCAACTTAGGAATGGCAGCAGCACCCAGATATTTCCTGGGAGCTAAGTGATGTGATGTATCCACATGGAGGCCTCCAGTTCTAGAAAACATATGCTCACCTCCAGGGATGTAGAAATTTCTTCCCAAGGATGAAGTGGAGGACCATGTTAGACAAACAGCCAACACAATGAATGAGTGTATGGGTGGACAGATGAGTGGACTGATGGATGGGTAGATGGGTGGGTAGATGGATGGATGGATGAAGAGGTGGATAAATGGATTGATGGACGGTAGGATGTATGGGTGACTAGATGGATAAATGAATGGATGGGTGGATGGATCGATGGATAAATAGATTGATAGATGTGGGATGGATGAAAGGTGGGGACAGAGGTGGGTTCATAAATGGATGGAAGGATGGATGAACAGATGGCACTTATCAAAATGGCATTAGTAAAATATTTAAGAACAGGGCTTTGGAACAAAACAACCTGTTTTAAATCCCCTGCTATGCCTCTTATCATGTGTTCTTGAGCAAGTTGCTGAACCTCTTTGGGCCTCAGATGACTCAGAGAGCAAGGCTTAAGTAACAGCGCCTATCTCTTGGGGTTGCTGTGGGAAATACACAACTATGTAGGGTTGTGTTCCGCAGTCATCTTGCATAGCCTCCTGAGACCACAAACCTTGCTCGTATCTAAAGACAGAATGTTCCTTCACCTTTCAGAATATGACCCCTTAAAACAGTCAACTCCTCCCTGGGAAGAAGAGAGAGGAGACCTACTTAGATAAGTACTTTCATGTATGGAAGGTAGCTATGCGTGGTTGCGCTGCTTGAAAAGCTGAGGGTTAGCAAGGGTGCAGGGTCAAGATGGCTATTTAGGGCCACACTGGAGGAGGAGCTTAGTTTTGTTGCCTCCAAATTACTGGAGGTTTCAATCACAGAGTCACAGGTAGCTTTATGGGGAACATCAAGGCTAGTTCTACTTCTGGTCCCATCCACAAAGCCACTGTGTGGCTTGTCAACAATTTCTACTTAACCCAGTACCAATGATGAGCAGTATTAAAAGGACCATCTCTAACAGCCTGGTGTGTGGAGGAAGACATTTGTCACTTTCTATCCATATGACCCTGGGCATGTCACCCAGTGTCTCTGGTCTTGGTGTCCCCATCTGTAAAACGGGTAAGAATAAAGACAATCTGAAGGGATTCAGACGCAGGAGAAGTAGCAATACAAGATGAACGGATGGCTCTGACACGTAGGAAACTTCAGTTTACACAACTGCTTTTCTATACATTTTTTCACCCCAAATTTAAAAAGGCAAAAAAACAAAAGATTTTTCCAGGTTCAGAAAACACTGCTTTTCCTGAAACACTGGAATAACCACAAAACACTCTGGGGAAAGCTGCCTCACAAGTCCCCAGCATATTTTGATCTCTGGCCTCTCTCAGGACCTAATCTTTACATCTCTGTGTAGGTTCCTGTCCCTCTTTTCCTCTTCTCAGAAGCGCCTCAGATAGAACCTGAATTCTAAGTTGTTTTGTTGATAACAAAAGCCCAAGTCATTTAGGACTCGATCCTGCCTATGATTGCAATATTCTCTCTCTGGGAAATCCTTTCTTCTTAAGCTCCCCCAAACCTTCTCCACTATCTCATAACTCCTCACACCAAACAAACAAACAAAGAGCTGGTCCCCCCAGTCCTGGTGGCTCCGATTCCTGATACACTGTCCCCACTCTATTTGTACAGGCCACATGCTTTACCTGAAGCTCAGTCCTTCCAACTGGAAACAATCATTAGCTCTCTTCCCTTGCATTTGCACATATGAATGAATGCATGAATGCTATTAGAAAATCCTGTGTGCACACCCCCACCAACTTCTTTTCTCAAAAATAAGCAATCTGAGATGCTGAACTGTTCCTCAGAGTTCAATCATTGATTAACATTTACTCTCTGTGATCCCTGCTAATGAGAGACTCTGTTCTGTTGCAGGTGGTGGGGGCAGGGAAATGCTGATGCAATAATTACCAGGGCTAGGATGCCACCTGGATGGCTGTCTCAGTATGATGAATAATAATGACAATCACCTTGACTGGTACACGCATAGTTCCAGTAACAGTGTATATCACTTTAAGGTGTTAGATTTCATCTTACACCCAGCCTTCCAGCTGGACATCATTTTCCTCATTTGACACGGGAGGAGACCGAGGCTCAGAGAAGCTGGGTCACTTTTCCTTGATCACACAGTCAGTAGGTGGTTAACCAAGATTGAAACCAAGTTCACCCGACTCCAACAGCCTAAGATCCTAGTCACATCTTGCCGGTGAAAAGTCAGTAGAACAGGACAGAGCCAAGTAAAACATCAACCATATGAACCAGCAACAAGAGAAATGGACACTGAGCAAGAAAATGGCTTTGTGGAGGTCAGACATTCAATAACTCTTCAACGATCACTGATAAGTCAGGCACCAGTGTGCAATAAGAAACCTCGCAGACCGCCATCATGGCTCACAGGCTAATGGGGGATACAGTCCTTAAAAGAAGGAGCATAATGTAACATGTAGTTACAAATTACAACAAGTACTTTGGGCCAGGCATGGTGGCTCATGCCTATAATCCCAGGACTCTGGGAGACCAGGGTGGGCAAATCACCTGAGGT